AGAAAAAAGTACTACCCATATAGATCTCTCTCCTGTTTGTACAGTTCTTTCTTGTATTCATGATTACGTAATTTTTTGTAATAAGTTACTAATTCTTTTATTTATTTACTTTATTTTTAATTTTGACCAGAGAGGGCAGAGTGAGAGAGAGAGAGAGAAGATGAGAAAGCAAGCCACTGGGACCAGCAGTTAACATTACAGCTATGTCACTGGACTCCCACCTAGTCGACTGCAGTTCGAGTCCCAGACCTGGTAGCTTAAACTCACACCGGGCGCATGTGCGTGCATACCCAAGATCCCAAGAAGAGAATGGAGGAGCGGAGATTACAGCGTGGCCATCCCCTTGGGGGTGATTTCTCACTCTCTGTCTCTCTGTCTCTCTCTGTCTTTGTGGCGAGCGCACCCTATAGCAAAACAAACAAACAAACAAAAACCTCTCCAAAAAAAAAGAAGAAAGCAAGCCACCAAGTCTGGGACTTGAACCGTTGAACCATGGTCAGCCATGTGGGAGTCTAGTGCCCTCGCCACCACACCACCTGCTGGCCCCCATATTCTTTTTTTTAAGAGAACTTTTTGCTAAAGGACACTCGCCAGAGAGACAGACCCTCTGAAAGTGAGAAATCACTCCCCAGGGAGGATGGTCCAACACAATCCCTTCTCCATTCTCCTGAGACTTTGGGCATGCACACACACGTACTCAGTGTGAATTTCAAGCTGCCAGGTCCTGGATTTGAGCCACAGTTAGCTATATGGGAGTCTAGTGCCTTAACTGCTATGCCACCTGCTGGCCACAGTCAGCATATTTTTAAGATTAGACCACAAGGGACCAGCAGTTAGCGTAATGGCTATGTCGCTGGACTCCCACGTAGTCGACTGTGGTTCGAGTCCCAGACCCGGTGGCTTAAACCCCCCGCCAGGCGCATGTGTGTGCATGCCCAAGATCCCGAGAGGAGAATGGAGGAGAAGGGATTGCAGCATGACCATCCCCCCTGGGGGGTGATTTCTCGCTTTCTGTCTCTCTGTCTCTGTCTGTCTGGCTGGCGAGCCCCTGCGCCCTATAGCAAAAACCTCTCCAAAAAAAAAAAAAAAGATTAGACCACAAGCCTGTAGAAGGCAGGGACAGTGACTTACATGCCTACATGCCGTCCTTAGAGTTTGATCAGGCTGGGCATGTGCTAGGCCCTTGCAGAAGGAGGCAGTGGATGGAGTGCTCTCAGGGAGGTGCCTTCTCCTCATGTCTCATTGTTAGCAAAGGAAAGTCTTATTCATCAGTCAAGGAAATAGTCACCAAAATCTGTTTCTTCCCCTTGTATTCCACTGTGTGTTGTTTCTCCAGCACAGAGAAACAAGGGAACAAGGGCATGCATTTTTGGTACCTTTCCCGTAATGCAAAGGAACATATGACCTGTTGCTAATCCTTTGAAAAAGTGGTGGAGGGACCACCAGTTAGCATAATGGCTGTGTCGCTGAACTCCCACATAGCTGACCACTGTTCGAGTCCTGGACCCGGTGGCTTAAACTCATGCCGGGCACGTGTGCATGCATGCCCAGGATCCTGAGAGGAGAATGGAGGAGAAGGGATTGCGGTGTGGCCATCCGCCCTGGGGCCTGGGGGGTGATTTCTCACTTTCTGTCTCTCTGTCTCTGTCTTTCTGGTGAGCGCACGCGCCCTATAGCAAAAACTTCTTAAAAAAAAAAGTGGTGGAGTTTTTTGGGGGGTTTTTTGGGGGGGGCATGCAGGGGAAGCTAAAATAATTAGGTCTCATATAATACGTGTGAAAAGTCAAGTATTATTTGCTCTAAATTGTTACTCTTTGGGCATATTTGAGAAATAGCATCACACCGACAGTTTCTTCATTCATTATCCCCAAATCACATCTCGGAGCGGACTGTACGTTGCCTGCTGTCAGGGTCTGTCGCTCTGTGAATTTACCACATTTGTGTCTCGGCAGCACTGCGGGAAACTGCCTCTTCTCCATTTCAAGTATGGCACTTTGAATTGGTGCAAAATGCTGGGAGGTCTGTATGATGTGCAGAAGCGAAAGCACCTGTGTTTGTTATGACCCTTGAAAGAGGAGGGGAAGACTAAATGCCGTGCTACAATCTGCATGACCATGCCTTACAAACTCAAGGAAACGCTTCCCAAAAGGAATGTATTATAGGATCTATATGTTAGGTACAAATCGTAGATCACCATGGGGAGCGGGAGTAACGGAAAACGGAAAAGGCAGCCTGACAGCGCGTGAGAGGCCGTAACTAAGAACCACTGATTTTTTCACAGATTTTACTTATTATTATGGTTTTTGCCATAGGATGTGTGCTTGCTAGAGAGAGAGAGAGACAGTGAGAGGGAAAGTGAGAAATCAGCACTGGAGGGTTGACTATGCCACAGTCCCTTCTCCATTCCCTCTTGAGATTTGGGGCATGCATGCGGTATGATTTTCAAGCCTCCAGATCTGGGACTAGAACCGTGTTTGACCATGTGGGAGTCTAGCACCTTAACCGCCATGCTTCCTGCTGGCCCCAAGAACCATGACTCTTAAATCAGTCGTACTTGGCTTTGATTCCTGTCACATTAGTCAGTAGCTTTAGGCAATTCGTTTTACTCTCTGGTCTTCATTTTCCTCATCAGTGAAGTGAGAATCTTAAAGATTAAATCCAATTAAATTTGTAAAGCAAAATACCAATACAGTGTCTGACTCAAGTTGATGCTACATAAATGGTAGCCAGTATTAGCATGACCATTGTTATTTCGGTTTATTATCACGATTGTCGTCACCACCACCATCATGGCGGTCAGAAACGCAGGGTGCCTACTGAGTGACTGTGATTGACGCTGAGATCATGGCTGTCTCTTGGGGAAGAAGATGGCGGTGCAGGGACTCCAGTTGGCCAGCCATCCTCGCTGCTGATTCGGGGTGCAGGAGCTAACAGGAAGTGGCAGCTCCCATCCTCCCTCCTCCCCCCAGGAGTGGTTCAGGGCCGGCTCATGCACCTGCTTAGTTGTCAGAAACCTTACCACACGCGGCACTAGCAGTTTCTCCTACTGTCCCTGGAAGGGCTGCCAGATGCCGAATGGTGACCTGATCTTCACGTCAGTAAAACAGTAGCTGACTGTTGCTTCGAATCTGTATTTTTTGGTCAGGCCAAAGTGGTGTGTGTAAAATAGGTCTCCTCCGCAAAGCCGTGATCTGCGGCATTTCCCAGTTTTCATGATGCCGATATTCCCGCCACGGGCAGCCGTGAGCTCTCACCCCCCAGTCACTGACTGTAGAGTCGGGAAGGGAGGTGTGCCACTGTTCAGGTGTGACCCTGGCTCCCTTCCACTGGCTCAGCTCCAGCACGTTGGACAGTAAAGGGTAGGACATTGACAGGAAAATCTGCAAGCCAGTGCAGTAGAAGGAAAGTGGTAGATTATTCTGGTATACTTGGCAACCAAGATTCATTCAGAAAGTGAGTTAATGCCAGATTACTTGAGTAATCTATTTTATTTTCCTTTCTTTCTTTTTCTTTTTTTTCTTTCTTTTTTTTTTTTTTTTTTTTTTTTTTTTTTTTTAGGATGCTTGACACTTTTTTTGCTATAGGGCTTGTGCACTCGCTGGAGAGACAGAGAGACAGACGGACAGAAAGAAAGAAATCACCCCTCCCCTCCCCTCAGGGCGAATGGCCACACCACAATCCTTTTTCCTCCATTCTCCTCTCAGGATTTTGGGCTCGCACACACGTGCCCAGCATAAGTTTTAAGCTGCTGGGTCTAGGACTTGAACCGCAGTTGACTACATGAGAGTTCAGCGACATAACTGTTATGCCACCCGCTAGTCCCGAGCAGTGTAATTCAGTGCCATCTTTCTGTCCTGGCTGTGTGCTCTCTAGCATACTCAGTGAGAAAACTCTTTTCCTGGCCTCTCGTGCTGCAAGAGGAAAATCACCCTCGTCACTTCCCGTTCCTGGAAAGTCTCTGTAGCCAATAGTTGAGAGAATGGGCCCGGAAATAATGCACGTTTATAAAAGCGAGTTCTTTCTTCTGGACTTCTCCCTTCCCTTTTCCCTCCCTCCTTTCCCTGCTTCTCTCCCCTTTCCATTCTCTACTGCCTTCCCAACTTTCTTCACAAGTGTTTTCTGTCGTCGTCTTTTGCATTCCTAACAACCCCATGAGAGTATTACACTATTAGGAATACATAATAGTATTCCTGCTTTGCCGAAATGGTAAAGAAACTAGAAAGCCTCTGTATTTACACGAATCTGTCATGTTACTACCTTTATTTTATTTTTATATTTATTTATTTATCTATTTACCTGCTTATTTTAATTTGACCAGAGAGGGACAGAGTGAGGCGGGGGGTGGGGACAGGGGGTTGAGAAAGCAAGCTGCCAGGTCTGGGACTCAAACTTCCGTCAGCCATGTGGGAGTTCAGTGCCCTAACCACCTTGCCACCTGCTGGCCCCTATTATCTTCTTTCTTAATTTGCCATTTTTTCCATTTTGAAAGTTTCACTGTTACTCAGATACCCCCAGTTGTTTAATTTTCCTTCCTGTCATAAATTGAATTCTGCCTGCCCGCCCCAGAGTTGTTGAAAATGATTGGGCTGTTGGAAAAGTCATGACGCGTTTTTGTTCTATACATCATGACTTTTCCGACAGCCCAGTGTATCGTTCTCTCTGTAGGAAACTACAGTACAGTACTATAAATACATTTCTGAGAACTTTTAATTAAGTAATGATGCCTAGAATTTCTCATCATCGTTAACCCCTGGAGATGCTAACACGGAACCCTCTTGGGAAGCAGTTCTGTTTTCCGCAGCTCATCACAGGAGCAGCAGATTCTGTTACAGACCCTCTTGGCGCTGTTAGGGTGCTCCCAGCCCAAGGTTTTGTCAACACACTGGATTTAACAAACAACCCAGGTCTTCTTACTAAAGACCTCTTAAAAGTTTTCCAGAAGCCTAATGACTTGAACGGAAGGGAAAAGGGTATCCGAGCTAACTGGTTCGGCGTTCGCCATGAAGCCTTCGGCAGCCCTGCTGGAGGTCGTCGCCTGTGCCATTCTCATCGTGGTGAGCTTTGTGGGAAACACGTGCTTACTTTATTCCACCAGGAAGTGCGCCACGGGGCGTCTGCAGACATCTTTTCTTCTCATTTTCAGTCTTCTGTCTGTCCACCTTCTGAAAAACCTGGTGGTGAATGTCATGAAGATTGTTTATTCTTCTGGCTTCACGTTGGATTCAGCTGGCTGCAAAGTTCTGCACTTCACGGCCGCCCTGACCACTTCTCTGGCCATCTGGTTCATGTTACACTTTGCGCTGCTCTACCACCGGAAGCTGTACCTAGTCGTCTACCCCTTGAGGGAGGCTCCAAACCTGCACCAACAGATGCACTCCTTGAAGGTGGTTTCTGCACTCTGGGGGGCCGGCGTGGCAGTGTATATCCCAGTTTTAATTTATGCTAGAAAACCAGAATACGTGCATGCAGGAAATGAGACAGACCCCTTGTCTCATGCCAGGATTTACATGGATTGCCTAATGGGCTTTGGGAGTAAGCAGGTAGGGTTTTACTATGGGAAGATATTTTTAGTTCTGATTGATGTCCTGCCTTTAGCTGTCTTAGTCTTTGTCTGTCTCTGGATGTTTTTCCTCCTTTCGGAGAGAAAGAAGATGACATACGGTGACATCTGGATTGGAGACGATGATTCAGAAGTCGAAACCCTTCGAGGAGCCAAGTTCAGTATTTTATTAATGCTGCTGATCACTCCACTTTGGATCTCTCACTTCATCTTAGTCTATTTCTTGAATGACTTGGCAAGGCATGCCTTTATCCCAGCTGTGCTCACAGCCCTCTCTTCAGGCTTCTCTGCCCTGAGTCCGTTCCTGCTTATGCTGGTTAATTACAAAATGAAGCTGGTGTCCTTCTGTGGTGCCAGAGTGGAAAAACCCACACCACAGCCTGCGAATGTTATTCTTTCTCCATATGCTTAGGTCGGGAACTCGATTTTAATCATTGGAGAACAGGTCTTGTCTTGGGAGGGTTCAGCTGAAGTTTTCACAGCCCTCATCAACAACGGTTCCTAGAGAAAATGGACTCTTCTCCAAATGGACTCTTGACCATGCGAGATGTTACTGCACATTGGAAGGAATAAAAGTCATCACAATATTTGGTACTTAGGAGAGTACTAAGATTTTTAATGTAGAAATTCCAGAGTAACTCAACAGCGATCGCAGTCTGGAAATGAACTCAACACAAACAATACATTAAGTATTTATGTCTTGCAAGATGCTGTGTTAAAAAACAGCACGTTGTTGACCCTGAGGATAACACTTCCTAGCTGAATTCCTAAAGGTACTCCCGAACTAGCTTATGTTTTGATCATATGTTTTTCTTGAAATGCTTCCACACACATTGAAAGCACATTAGGTAGGTGTGCAGTGTTCCGATTTGCACTTTGAATCATGATGTCTTATCTAAGCTGGAAGCAGATTTTGTTCATTGTCCTTACCCTAAGTGTCTCTAGTAAATCCTAGATAAAAATATTGGATTAAAGAATTAGTACTTGCTAAATCGTCCTCTGTGGTGTGTGTGTGTGTGTGTATAGATGCACAAATGTCTGATTGCTGAAGACATTTAGCCTTCTGTCCCAGCATAATTACCTGAATATATATGAAACTATATTCTTTTCTTCAGAAAGAAAAGGTACTTATAGGGAATTGATATCCTCTTTTGGTTATTAAACTGGTGTATTTCTAAATTAGAAGAAGTTATAAAATCCTCATAATGATTTATTTTAGATTTTAATTCAATAAGAATAAGCACATTAAAAATCTAGTTAAAACTACATGACCAGGCTTTTATTTTGCCAGCCTAGCCATTTAGACTACTCCCATACAATAACTATTTATTTTAAATATCTATGCATACATTTGTGGAAGCATTGCATTTTAAGCAGATTCTTATTATATTCTTGTATTTAAGCTTTTTCCCTTGTATTTGAGACCCAGTATTTCTCATACTGTAATTCTAGTGACTGGCTATCTCTAAATTGAGATTCCTGCTCTTGAAAATTATAAGCTTGGATCTCATTTGCAGCAGAGACCTGGGACATTTTTCATTGCCATGAAATCCTATGGAGAAAGGGACTTTTAAAGTACTATAATTAAGGGCCAAATTCTGTTGGATTGTGTGGGCCAATACCTGTCATTTGTATAGTACAGGGAATTAAAAAAAAAAAAAAAGTAAGCTGTGAAATTTCTGGGTGGTCTTCATGGGAAAGGCTTAGTCAGGTCCACTGAGGCAGTTCCATCAGAAGGGCACCAGGCGGGAATCCTGTGTAACGAGGTTAACATCTGGGGCGATGGGGGATGTGGGGAAGAGGTCATCATCTTTTAATTAAGCCCAGATGTGGCCAGAGTGAGGGATAGCCATTGCTCTTAGGTAGTAGTTCGAGGACCAGCAGAGTCAGCCTCACTTGGGAACTTGTTAGAAATGTGAATTCTTGGGCCCCACCCCAGACCTCTTGAGTTAGAAATCCTGGGGGGAGGGGGGCTTGGACTCAGTAGTCTGTTACAGTAAGCCTTGTGGATCATTCTGATGCGTGCTAAAGTTGGAGAACCACTAGGTTGTTCTGAAGTTTGGTTCTCACAAATGATCAGAACTAAGCCAGGATCACTGACTTAAGATGAAATCTTTGGGCCACAGGTGGCATGGTGGTTGGGATGCTGGACTCCCACATGGCCGACTGCAGTTCACATCCTGGACCTAGGGGCTTGCTTCTCATTTTCCTTCTCTCTCTCTTTTGTGAGTGCATGTGCCCTATAGCAAATAAAAATAAATTAATAAAAATCAATAAAATAAATCATTCTTAAAAATAAACAGGGACCAGCAGATGGCATAATGGCTATGTTGCTGGACTCCCATGTAGTCAACCACAATTCGAGTCCTGGACCCGGCGGCTTAAACTCATGCCAGGCACATGTGCGTGTGTGCCCAAGGTCCTATGAGGAGAATGGAGGAGAAGGGATTGTGGCGTGGCCATCCCCCCTGGGGGGTGATTTCTTGCTTTCTGTCTCTCTGTCTCTCTCTGTCTTTCTGGCAAGCACACGTGCCCTATAGCAAAAACCTCTCCAATTAATCAATCAATCAAATATACAAATAAATAAATGATATAGTCTTCTGGGTGGTGAATCCCACATAGCCAGGAGTGGTTTGAATCCCAGACCTGGTAGCTCAAAAACCACACTGGGCATGTGTGCGCGTGTACCCCAAATCCTGAGAGAATGGGGAAGAAGAGATTACCATCTTCTCTCGGGCATGGGGGAGTGATTTTTCACTTTCTCTCCTCCTCTCTGTCTCTCTCCAGTGAGCACATGCACCTTATAACAAAAGAGAGAGAGAGTCATGACGTCGTCCTCAGTGCCCCCAGCCACGTCGCTGTTGTGTCTGCCTCTCTCTGCAATGGCAGTTAGGGCTGTCATCTGTGTTCCATATATTCTTGGTAAGAATCACCACACAGATACATTGCTGAAATTATGTAATCTTTGCAAAATCAAGAGTTAAGCGTGACCACTTCAGGTGCTCCAAAACTTTGGAACGTGGGTTTGGATGGTTTCCTGTACATAACCGAGTAAGGGATCCAGTTCCCAGACTATTCCATTGTTCCTTTCCAGAAGCCGATGCAAGCCATGGTTGGCTTAAGCCCATGCTCAACTTCCCAGGGCTAGAAATGTTTCCTGTTCTTCCCAGATATTTTATTTTTGTTTGGGCCTCATTAGATCATAGTTTTGTTCTTGTGGAATTGGTAAGTTTTCATCCACAGCAGAGAATAAATCACACACTCGCTGAATGAATAACATTCCTGTTCTGGTTTTTAAGTTATTTTCATTTTAACTCTCTTGACTTCTCTTTTCCTCTCCTTTCCCCCCTCTTTTTCTTTCAAGTCTCTGGTGGGTTCCGAATGGCAAATAAAAGAGAATAAGGGTGGTTTAACAGCGTGTTCTGGTAGAACCCTGAAGAGGGGAAAAGGGGGTCAGGATAGTCCCAAGTTCCTGATTTGGTTTCAGGGATGTTTCTTTGATTTCTTTTCCTTTCTTTTTTGTTTGTTTGTTTGTTTTGTTTTCCATAGGGCATGTGTACTCGCTGGAGAGAGACTATGAAGGAAAAAGAGAGAGAGTGAGAAAGCAAGGAAGTACCTCTCCACGGAGATGGCCAAGATGACCCTGTTGCAATTCCTTGTCCTCCATTCTCCTCTTGGAATTTTGGGCACACATGCATATGCTCCTGGCGTGTTTTTCAAGCCACTGAGTTCAGGACTTGAACAACATAGTCAGCCATGTGGGATCCAGCCGCCTTTACCACCACACCGCCTAGCTGACCTTCAGGAATGTTTCTTTATGCCATCTCAGTGCACAGAATCTCAGTGGACCCTCTATTCTTCCTTCCAAATGCAGGGTTCTGACCTTCCTCTCTTAGGGGGTCCCTCCACCTGTCTTTGTGAACCACTTCTCACTGGGGTAGTTGGGATCTCTAGAAGCAGACCCTTTGGAGTGTCATTATTAACATCTTTGCTTAGACTGGTATTCCTGGAACTTCCTTCAAGATCTACCCTTGAAGTCAAATACTCCTTTTACCTGTTGGACCTTTAAGTTCAGAGAGAGAGAGAGAGAGAGAGAGAGGTGTTAGGTATCTCCTTAGCTGTGCTACATAAATAGAGTTCCCCCACCATTGGCTGCTCTGGTTCCTGACTCTATCTCGGTACATTGGGTTTACTGTGGCCTTCTTAAGAAGTTGCGTCTAGAACCAAACACAATATATATTTTCTTTTATGTATATATGTGTGTGTATTTTTATTTTATGTACCCTTTTTTCTTACACAGCTGCCGTGAGCCTAAATTCTTTCCTTCTTTGAAAAATCATTTTAAACATTAAACCCATTTTAACTCTCTCTCTCTCTCTCACACACACAAATACAGATTAAAAAGTATATATATTTGGTTGTCTGAAAAGTCATGATGTATTTTTTTTCTTTTCTTTTCTTTTTTTTTTTGGAGAAGTTTTTGCTATAGGGTGTGTGCGCTCGCCAGAAAGACAGAGAGAGACAGAGAGACAGAAATCGAGAAATCACCCCCCAGGCGGGAAGGCCATGCTGCAATCCCTTCTCTTCTATTCTCCTCTCAGGATCTTGGGCACGCATGCACACACACCCGGTGTGAGTTTAAGCCACCAGGTCTGGTACTTGAACTGCGGTCGACTACATGGGAGTTCAGCAACATAGCCATTACGCTAATAGCTGGTCCCAAAGTCATGCAATGTATTTTTGCATAGAAAAATACATTGACTTTTCCAGTGACCCAATAAAATATATCTGTCTCCCTTGGGCCTACAAATTAAAGTCTTTTCAAGTTCTAACATTTTAGTCCAAGTTGGTTCATTCTCAGTATTTGGATTTCAGAAAGCATGAAATAGTCCCCCAAATCATTTGCAAGAATTTTAAACTATCAATTAGGGCTGAAAGCTTTAAGAAAGACCAACTCTACAGGAATTTATCAGAGCAATCCTGATCTCTAGCATAAAGTTTTCAACTACGAGAGCATCTTGCTTCCCTGTTTAATAGGGCATAAGGACGTATGGTCGTAATCCAATTTTCTTTGAACTATTACACCAACAGGCTTTGGAATAGAATGTTTTATAGACCAGTTCAGGGATACTTGTGGGTAAAGTATGTTAAGTATACAAAGATGTATACATTTTTCTTTAGAGGTGATGTCATAGGGGCTAGTAGGTGGCATGGTGGCTGGGGCACTGAACTCTCACATGGCTGACCACAGTTTGAGTCTGAGACCTAGTGGCTTCTAGGTCTCACTTTCCCTCTCTCTCTCTGGTGAGTGCATGTGCCTTACAGCGAATTAAAAAATAATAATAGTAACTAAAATTAAATTATATATATATATATGATGATGATGCTCACGTCTGCCATTTCTGTTTAGAA